CTGGTTTGATCAGTGAGGGAGTCAATACACTAGCTGCTGCACCTGTGTCAACGAGGAAACGGCGTTTGGTTACGATGTCAGATATGTAGAGTAGTGCAGGGTTGGACTTAGCGGGGGTTACTGGCCGTTAACAGTCCCCGCCGAAGTAGCTTCCCGACCAGGAACAAGGAGCCCTACAGTTGTGGGCTTGGTGTCCGAACCTCTGGTGGTAAGAACAAAGCTCTCCTTGGTGTTCTCGCTGTCGCCTAGAGCCTGATACTGGATTCGCGTGGTACGTCCTTCCAGGGCGGAAGAAACGCCGGTTCTGGAGGACGTCGAGTTGTTGGGTGTCTGTAGTCTGCTGTGTATCACTGAGGTGGGGCATCGTAGTTATCAGACGTCGTGTACAGCCGGCCTGCCAGTGTAGCCAGCTGTAGTAATGGGGTGTCATTATCCATACTGAATAGGGCCGGTTGAATGTGTTTTGGACAATTGTATCCAGAGTGATCGCACAATTTCGTTGGGGGCTGGGCCATGTGCAGTATGCATTACATACTGAATATGCCGCAGAAGCTGGGCTGGTGTTTTGTCTGCTAACCTTTTGTCAGTAAGGAGTTGGTCCCGTTGTTGAATACGGCGTTTCATCGCTGCCTGTAGAAGAGCGGCCTTCAGCGTTGTGCACGTCCTGGTGTCTGGTGATGGGGCGTTGATGACAGCGGAGGCGGCGAGCATGGCCTCCGAGGGAAGTGTTGGCAGGGTACAGGCCAGGAGATACTGACATCCTTCCCCCATAATTGGAAAACTGAGTATGTAGGTGTATATGTATGCATGTGTGTATATGTGTATGTATGTATGGATATATATGTATATGTAAATATGTATATATACATATGAATATGTGTATGGATGAGTATATGTATGTATACATGTGTATATATGAACAACTCGATAAATAATAATATGTATGAACAACTCGATAAATAATAATAATAAAATAAAGAGCCTTAAACAGAACAACATGACATCCATATATGGTGAAACCATGTGTGAAGAACCTCTCACACACTCACAGCTCCCTGACAAGAGGGAGCCAGTTTAGCTTAGCTGCCAACACCCACGCATCGTGTCAGCAAGGCGGACAGCCCGCCTGCTTTCATACCTCTCACTGTATTTCCCACTTCTATACTTCCCTTCACCTATGCCTCTTCTTCCTCTTTACTTCAAAAAAAAAAAAGTGGCCAGGTGGGGCTGGAGGCCCCGGGGTGCTGTTGGCCGTGGGGTAGGGGGGGGGTGCTAGTGGCCCTGGGGGAACCCTGCTGGTGGCCCCGGGGGGAGGATGCTGGTGGCCCCGGGGGGAGGGTGCTGGCGGCCCTGGGGAGGGGTGGCCCCGGGGGGAGGGTGCCGGTGGCCCTGGGGGGAGGGTGCTGGTGGCCCTGGGGAGGGTGCTGGTGGCCCTGGGGAGGGGTGGCCCCGGGGGAGGGTGCTGGTGGCCCCGGGGGATGTTGCTGGTGGCCCCGGGGGAGGGTGCTGGTGGCCCTGGGGAGGGGTGGCCCCGGGGGGAGGGTGCTGGTGGCCCTGGGGAGGGTGCTGGTGGCCCCGGGGGATGTTTCTGGTGGCCCCGGGGGAGGGTGCTGGTGGCCCCGGGGGGGGGTGGCCCCGGGGGGGTGGCCGGGTTTACCCCAGCAGGTGGGCAGTGATGGCGGCGGCCCCCAACACTCACCTCCGTCACCACTCATCATACAGCTTATACTCTTACTAAAGCTTACATGACTGTCATATTGGACCACAGCTCACCTTCATGTGTTCACTTTCCTCCAGTTGGGCACATGACGCGGCTCAGGCTCACGCACATGCCCCATAGCCACTGTTACTACGCAAAATGCCCTTGACATAGTAAGTAAATTGGGCTAAATTTTATTTGTGCACATTGTCAGTCATGTTTGAACATGGAAATAACACGTAACACGGGGTCCGTCTAATTACCACAAGCGACCACAGGCTACACAAGCTTCAGAAAGCTTCCTGGCAATACGTTAGTAATGAATAAATATGATATGTTAAGTTAGGCTGACCTAACCTAACTAAACCAAACCTAACCTAACCTAACCGAAGCTTGGATCGTCGACTTGATTTGGCGTCACCAGCTTTTTATTTTCGTCTAATTTCTTTATAAAAAGATACTTTTTCAGATTAAAATTATGTTTTTTCGTGTTTTACATTCAGCACCAACATTATAATGAGTAAATATATCATATTTATTCATTACTAACGTATTGCCAGGAAGCTTTCTGAAGCTTGTGGTAATTAGACGGACCGATTGTATCCTATCCACAGATGCCCACTGGATGGGGGGCGGTGTGCAGGACAAACATATAAATTTTGACACTAGCTCTCCACATATGTCAGTTGCTTAATTTAGAACCTATACTTGAGGTCGATCTCGAACCCATTGTTGATGTGACGACTTATATTGAATTTTGTAACTAGCTCATCAAGATTGTAACTTGCTTAGCTAAATGAATTGTGGGGTTCAGTCCCTGAGCCCATTATGTGCCTCTGTAACCCTTTCCACTACCGCCCACAAGATGGGTATGGGGTGCATAATAAATGAACTAAACTAACTCTTTGACTTTAAGGAAAAGGTGGTGGTGGTGATTCAATTATATAAATCTCTGGTGAGTCCCCACTTGGATTATTGTATCTAAGTAAGACTTGATCACCAGTTAGTTTTTAGTTTAGTTCATTTATTATGCACCCCATACCCATGTTGTGGGCGGTAGTGGAAAGGGTTACAGAGGCACATAATGGGCTCAGGGACTGAACCCCACAATTCATTTAGCTAAGCAAGTTACCAGAAAGACAGCTCCTATAGAGAAAGTTTAAAAATCATTTGAAAACTAAGTCGACTCTCACACCAGGAACGGTTGAGGGTCACGTGGCTAAACAGGCATGACAGGGCGGATCTCATCGAAACTTTTAAAATACTGTACTGAACAATTTGGAGGATGTTGATCCGGACAATTTCTTCAAAAGGTCAAATGTCACACAAACAAGGAGAAACGGTTTCAAACTCAATAAGCCACAATGTAGGACTGAAAATAGATGCTTTTTCATCCACAGGGTTGTAAACCATGGAACTGCCTACCCGCTGAAGCTGTAAATGCCAAAACTATTCCATTTAAAAAAATAAAACTGGAAATGATCAAGACAAATGGGGGGAACCTTTGACAAGCTGCTGGTTTCCTGTCCTCATTAAGGCTACTAGTGTTAATAGCCCCCAGATAAGTAGTACATTCTTGCAAAGCCACTAACACACTATAAATGTCTTGGCATTTATGCTCTATATATATAGACAATACTCACAATACTGCAAAAATTATTAGGAATAATTGAGGGGACTTTCTAACAAGATGCTGGCTTTCTGTCCCTATTAAGATCATTAGCGATGGTCACCCTTTGGTAAATTTTGATAATTTTAAACACTTAAAAAGCTAAATTTTCAATGACACTGAAAATTAGAATATTCTATGAGAGGTGCCACTATTAGTGAGGCAATGCAGTTCTGACATTAAGATACATATCTTTATTTATTTATTTATATATTTATATACAAGAAGGTACATTGGGTTTATGAGCATTGATGTTTTTACATTCTTGTAAAGCCACTAGCACGCATAGCACTTCAAGCAGATCTTTGCTCCAATAAGCACCCACGAGTTAATCTTATGGCCGTACAGTACTTAGTGGAACAAAAAAGAGAAGCAGGTTCAGCAGAGACTACATGTGCTGGGCTTGATGACACAAGGCAAAAGAGTGAGGGGAAAAGAACCAGGTGAAACCTTCGGTGATGTGGGCTGCACTCTGATGGCAGTTAGACACATCAGTCAGCTCATGATGGGTATTGGGTGCATAATAAATGAACTAAACTAGAGGGTCAGAGTATATACTGTACCTTGCAGTAATGATTGATTGTTTACCAAGTGTGCTTAATTTCCTTAAAGCAGTCACAGGTTTAATACTTCATTGTCAGGGATCAGACAGCCACTTTATATATACAGTACATGTTAGGCTTATATTGAGGTTCCCCCCCCCCACCAAGGGTCAAATTACTGATTCTCCCACAGGATGCAACCCAACAACAAGCTGACTAGCTCCTGGGTACCTATTTACTTCTAGGTAAACAGGTGCATTAGGCGATAGGAAAAGCGCCCAACTATTTCTGTCTCACTCGGGATTCGAACCCAGAATTCTTGATTGTGAGTCAAGAACAAACCCAACTGTACTACTAGCTAAGCTCACTTATCCAAATTGTATGGGAAGGACCCCCTACTGGATAGGCCAGACATTCAGATAAGCAGAATTCTACCAGAAGTCCAAAAATTACCGTATTTTTAATTTTTTGTATCACAACCACCATAATTTTTATTTCCACACACACTATAAATAAAAAATATAATTAAAAAAAAAAAAAAATTGCTGCTTACTTTGTTGTAGTCTCTTTTCTTGTGACACTGTAGTCTCTGGTCACCTGAACTTCTGTCCGGATACGGCGAAGTTTTGTAGAAAATTATCTGAAGCCGATTTTGGTCAGATAACCCAAATATTTGGTTTAGAGTGCTTTGTATAACCGAGCTCATACAGTACCTGTTTTGTTTGTACCTGAATCTGGTTCAGATTCTGGTCCTGGCTCCTGGTAGGCAACAGATTATTAATCTCGCAGGCCTGGCGTGTTAAACTAAGGCTTGGTGGTACCAGATATAAAGCTCAAAAACTCAGGAAACCACTGAGGTCCCTTCCCAAAAACAAATTGTGAGAGTCTACCCAGTAATTAAAATTTAAACATGAGGAAATGGTATATAATTTGATATTTCAAATATGCTTCGTTTTGTTATTACTTATTCCAGAAACAAAACCTTGTGAAAATTTTACTGATAGTTTGTGATTTATACAGCTTTTTCCTGTATTTAAAGATAAAGATTTATGTGGCATTTTAGAGGCTAACAGAATAAATACTATTGATACAATAATACAAGTGTTTATTCAGTCTACTAAAGTAAGATATTATTGTGGCACCTGCTTTATTGTAAATGGAAATCTCAAATTTCTACAATCTAAGGAGCAGTTGTACACCTGGGAATTTACTTTTATCTTCTACCAAAAGCTATTACATACTGTATATGTATATGTATGAAAGTACAGTACTGTACCTACTTAATTTTGTTTGATAATTTCTTTAAAATCTTGGCATCAGAACTCTAATAAGCATAAAATAATGGCTGTAGAAATGTCATAAATAATATACCCTATACTGTATATTATAGATCATCAAAATATTTACATTGCCATGACACACACATCCCAGTGGGCACCGTTAGTTGAAAGCGACCAATGTTACATAATGTTTACTATGTAACGTTCGGTTGCTTTTAACCAATGGTGCCCGCTGGAATGTAGCATTTGCCATGAGTAACTGCAGTGTGAACAGTAACTGGCAGTAACTATATTTGAAAATGATTGCTGGCTAATCAGGTTTCATATTTCAGGGTCTGAAGACTCCTCCTAGGCATCCCAATGACAGGTATATGTGTGTCAACATCTGGTAAGTACTCATTGCTTTAAATCAGAGGTTTGAGGCAATGAGCAAGACAGCAAGCCTAGGCAGGCTAATATAAATAAATAAATAAATAATATAAATAAAAATAAAATAAATAAATAAATATAGAGCACTTGCCCTAGGAAAAATGTAAGAGATTCATTTGGTCTAAGATACTTTGTGGACACACTAATTCCTCATGACTCGGTAGGATGCAGAAATGACTTAGCAGACACTTGAGAGACTAGGACTAGGTTATACCCAAGTGGTGAGTCTGTGGAGAGTCATATTTCCCCATTAGTTGCATGAAATTAGTAGTGCTTTGGCTGTGTCCCACATCTCGGGAAAAGAGCAACTTTATAAGCATCACGGACAATGTCTTCACAACTGGAAGCAATCTAATAACTGTAGGATGTGCTTGATGACCTTGCCCTTTGAGTCAAGCACACTCAGTGTGTTTGTGACTTTGGGACACTACAAAATGAAAAGTTAACGTGTGTTAGGCGAGTGATTGTGCATACACTATGTACTTGAAGGCTTAAGCATTTTTTTATAAATGGATTCAGTCTGTATAAAGGCATTAAGTCAGTATTCTGGAATAACATAGGGGATTTTATAGTCTGTGTGCCATTTTACATAATGGCTATACTTCTTTCCTTTACAGGGATTACATTACTCTAGAATGTTAAGGGATGAGGAGGAGTGCAAGGATTTTCTGAGTATTAAAAGATGCAATATATGGTACTCATCCTAATGTCTTAATGTGTGTGACAGTGCAGCCTCTCTGCTGCACTTTTGCACCATTTACTACCAAGTACTGCTGTCTTGGTACAGTAGTACCAAGTACTACTGTACTTGGTTCTATTTATGTCTTTAATTCCCATCCTTTAGCAAGACAGTGCCTAACAGATGCCAGGGGAGTGTGTTGTGACTTTGACTGTTGGTATATTTCCATGTTCTTCAATAGCTTTACAACCAAAGGTCCACACTCTGTAACATTACAAACTTAAATATTGCTGCTGTGTGTTCCTGGCCACCATATGTAGTTTTCCTCATCTTATATTATAGATGAGAGTCTAAACACCATTGTGTGTTGACTCTGGAAACACCAAATATCATTTACATACATTTTGGTAAAGCTTATTTATTTTTCCACATGCAAAAAACTTATAAAACTGAACTCGTGTTTGTTCTGATTCAACCTTGATATAGTTTCCTCACTGAATTTAGTTTCAATAACACTAAAAGTATTTGGAAACACGACAAGTTGAATAAATGTCACTATAGAAGCAGATAAAGATTTGACAGCATTTCAAAGAAACAGGACAATCACACTTCATCAAATCATCCACAGCAGCACTTCACTAATTTCATAACATTAGTGACTATTGCCTTACACACACACACCAGGTCTGCTCCTCTTTTCCTTGGCCTGCCACTCTTTTCCCCTCAACTCAGATTTAGTCCAATATACACACTTCAAAACCTACACCATCATTTAAATACTTTCTTAAAAAAATATCATTCCATAATACTCATGGTTTATGTTTTCTTAGTTTAAATTATGCTGGAATATGTACAATGTGGAATTTTATGACTTACCATAATCGAATCATTCAAGGTGCTCCCCAATATTCAGTCAGGACTGGTGCAGGTGTATTTGGTGGCCTGGGTAAACATTCAAGCTTTGCACCCCCCACCCACCTCTTCACTGTATAACAAAATTTGTGTTGTTTCATAGTTCACAAACAAAATTTTGCAGCTGCCTAGTTTGCCAAGCACTTGCAAAGTACACATACACAGCTTTATGCTTAGAATATATATTTCACTATACACTTTATATTCAACAGAAATCTTTATTCTGTCCTTTTTAAAACATTTACAGTTATCATGCTAACAGGAACTACTGCAAGAACCCAATCAAAATAGGTGGTGCTTCTAATTTGTTAATCAACTGAAGACGGCTTGGACCAAGTTGTGAACGTATGGTAAGTCGACAACATTGAGTTAAGGGTCGAGGGTCCTTTTCATTTGCAACGAGAAGATGTGCCAGTGCCGAAGAGGGTCCAGCTATGTCTCGTGCAGTACGTCCCAGACTGTAGTGGTGAGATTTAGTTTAATATTTGTTTATTCAGTATAGTATTTATTTATTTATAAACATGGTCATGCACACACACACACTCTATCAAAAAAATTTAGAAAGTTTTCTTTTGCAAACAGAGTGGTAGGCAGTTGGAACAAGTTAAATGAGAAGGTGGTGGAGGACAAAACCGTCAGTAATTTTGAAGTGTTATATAACAAAGAGTGCTGGGAAGACGGGACACCACGAGCATAGCTCTCATCCTGTAACTACACTTAGGTAATTACACTTAGGTAGTTACACACACACACACACACACACTCTGAGATGGAAGGTTGTGTCTGTTGGCTCATCAGACTGGAGTAAAGATCTAACTAAAAACATAAGATCAATTATGTTTGCTGTTAGTGTTATAATACCTACTAAGATCACTGTGATCAGTTAAAAAAAAATGTAAAAAAGCACAAAATTAACAAAAGAGTTATAGCCATCAGGCTCACAGAGTAGGTGAAGGCCTTCTTTGTTTACAATAGAGCCAAAGCAATACATGAATGTGTCAAAGTATGGAACAAAAAGGAGAACTTCAGAGCATTGGAATAGGACCATGGGCTGCAGGAAAATGATGTCAATTTAATGTATGCAAAATTTTGAGAGATACAGTACTGTACATGGAAAAAGACACTCAGCTGTATGTACTGTAGCGAGTAGATTATCCCAATAATATACTCGCTCCAAATATAGTGTTAATATTCCTGTCAACCTTTGGAGATGAATGAGGTGAGGCGTTGCCCGGGCAACACGGTGAGGTGTTGCCCGAGCATATAAGCAGCAAGAATAGCAAACATTAACTAGTCTACTTTCAAGTGTGGTCTAGAGCAGACACTTGCGAGATACTGTACCAACGCTCAGTGCGCTCAACTCACACCAACGTATCACCTGTGTACTTCTGTATATTCGACCAAATATATATATAGTATCTCAGTGTCTGTGTTTATTTGTCACCATACTTTACGTAACAATAGAACCGTTACATTGGTGACCCAGTGAGTGAAAAAGAACACCTAGTCACAAACTAGATCTTCGTCATTGATTTATCTACCAGGTTTCCAGCATACAACATGGACTCTCACTGGACCTCCACTGCTGCTGCTTGCTGTGGACCGCAGCCACCTGTCATGGAACGTTGCCAACACCCTTGCCACAGCTATGATTTTCATCGCGATCGTCTCTGCATTTTCATCTACTACGGCTTGCTGCTCCACGATCACTACTCACTCATCTGGCAGCCTTATCAGTAACTACATAATGTGTGATCTACAGCCTGTCCTGCCGACTCTCCGTCGCTGCCAGGGCACTGCTTGTTCTACAGGGGCGCCCACGAAAGCTGCTCTTTCGTCAGATTCATCTACACGTTCACTGCATTCTGATACTCTGCCGACTCAAGCACTTTGCGCAGTACAGGACTTACAGCTTGCGTTTCCGACTCTTCGTCGCCTCCAGGACAATTCAGCTCTAGCAGTGATTACCTCGTTGTCCTAACTACGTGCCTACATTACCTCCTAAATGTCCTGGTGCCCGAGCCCATCCGCCCCGGATCTAAATGCTCCACCAGCGACCCAAGGACGCAACAATTATGCACATTCTTCTCTCCTGCTACACCGAGCTTGTCCACACACTGCCTACATCTTTTGGTACCAGACTACAATTTCCACAGTTAACAATGTAGTACTCGGCGTGTACAGTCCTAATCAACCCAAGACGCTACAGCTTCGACACAGAGCAGACAGCAGACTACGACCGCATCGAGCCGCCACGCTCTCGCTCCCCGAGTTCAGACACTCACAATTCTCAATCGAGCCGCCACGCTCTCCCACATAGAGCTCCACGACTCCGGCCTCACTCAGTTCTCTGCTCTGCTCCAGGCTTCGTCTCAACGTCTGCGACACTGCTAAAGCCAGAGACACATCCGCCGACTACGCAGTTCACTTTTCGACCACAGTTACCAGCAGCACCGCCACCTACGACAACGGACGATCCTGTACGACCTCCCATGTTACAACCCCAGTTACCAGCCGCACCACAACCCGATCCTACGACGACGGACGATCCTGTGCGACCTCCCACCCTACGACCCCAGTTAGATGACATCAGCGAAGAGGAGGAAGTTAACTTTGATGGTTATGTAACGCGAGCAGGGCGTACAATTCACCGACCAGCTAAGTTCCTTGATCAAGTATTTTTCCTTTCATCCCCTGGGAGGGGGAGTTCTGTAGCGAGTAGATTATCCCAATAATATACTCGCTCCAAATATAGTGTTAATATTCCTGTCAACCTTTGGAGATGAATGAGGTGAGGCGTTGCCCGGGCAACACGGTGAGGTGTTGCCCGAGCATATAAGCAGCAAGAATAGCAAACATTAACTAGTCTACTTTGAAGTGTGGTCTAGAGCAGACACTTGCGAGATACTGTGCCAACGCTCAGTGCGCTCAACTCACACCAACGTATCACCTGTGTACTTCTGTATATTCGACCAAATATATATATAGTATCTCAGTGTCTGTGTTTATTTGTCACCATACTTTACGTAACAATAGAACCGTTACAGTACAAAAGCCAGAAGAGACAATAAAATAAGACTGGTATAACAGGGAATGCTGGAAAGCTATAAAGGAAAAAATGTATAAAGCTGGAAGTATTACTGGACACAACAACCTCCTAAATGTATTATAAAAATACAAAGCCAGAAATAAGTATACTCAGATGAGAAAACCAGAAGATAAAAACTTTCAAAAAGGTGTTGAGGAAAATACAAAAGCTTCACGCAATGAAACACCCCCTTCCCCTCCTTTCCCCCCCCCCCCTTCTGGCTGGCACCTCACTAGTGACCCGAGCTTAGGGCCACATTAGTCATGTTTTCTTTTGTGATATTCTCTGCCCATCAACTTGACCCCTCCATGGGGCAGGAAAAATGTGAGATCAAAGATCAACCCTCTACCGAGATGAACAATGTGATTAGTAGCTGTATAAAAAACACAAATATCTATTATGAAATCACTGTACAGTAATCAGATCCTCTCTAATTTTAATAAATATTATTATTATGACTGTCCTTAAAATTAAGTGTTAAAAAACACTGACAATTGCTAGTGATGGTCATGCACTTCACCAATTGGGAGTTATTTACCCCATTGAAATTATTGTTTACATTATAATTCATTCATGTACATCTTTTTTTCTCAAGCTGTTCCTTGTTTTGATGAGTTTATGATCTCTGGAGGGATATTTTTCTTGGTAGTATAATAATCTCGAATCTCCAAGCTCCTCTCTTCTCATACAGAGCCAGATTCAGGCTATGCTCAAGGAAGACAAGGTTGGGTCGTAGAGACCGGTGCGCAGCTTGGCTGGATCAGTGCTTAACTCAGGGATTTACTGAGGAGGCCTCCTAGAAAAGGCAAAACATGCCAACATCAGAAATGATGCAATTCGAATTTTGGAAGTGCCATTGTATATATAAATAGACTGACTCTTCAATTCTCCAATGATCTGCTTCCCTTGACTCGCCATGGCGAGAATTTTTAGCTTTCCTAGCCAGCTGTCCAAATCACCATATTCGAGGTTATTCTACACTCATATTTCTTGGCACTGTACTTTATTAAAAATGCTGTGCTAAACTTTCTGTAATCATGTTAGCTCAAAATACAGGAAATGTGCCAATGAAGACTTCTACTAACAGCAAAGCCAAGAAGAAATGTTCTGTGAAGAATTTGGAGCAGAAAATGGAGAATGGCATCCATGTTTGTGAGTGCTAAAAACCAAGCGACTTTTTTATATTTTGAACGCTAAGAGCTTTTCTTGTTATGTTCAGAGTGAAAGTAATCAAACAATGCACTACAGAAAAACATTCAGTTAGGCTGTAACTAATGTAAGGTTACAGTCTCCATGGCGTAGTGGTACGATGCTCGCCTGACGTTTCACAAGCACTTTGTCCAGGGTTCGTATCCTGGCAGGGAGGATTTACTGGGCGCAAATCCTTAACTTTAGCCTCAGTTTAACCAACAGTAAAATGGGTACCTGGTTGTTTAACAATTTGGTGGGGTCATTTTCCAGGAAACATAGGATTAAGGACTTGCCCGAAACGCTGTGAGTGCTAGTGGCTGTACAAGAATGTAAGAATTCTTATTACATTATAAATAAAAAAAATTGAGAACGTGGGGAGTGGTCCCTAAAAGTCTCAAGTAACATGAATACAATGTTAGCAAGGCAATTCTTTTTGTATACTTAAAGTGAAAGTAAGAAGGCACTGCACCAGGGTAAAGTACATAAGGCAGGCTAAACTGTGCTTACAATGCAGTGTGGGAGTGAGTACAAGCAAAGGTGGGGTGAAATAAACACAACCAGTGCCAGGATGGCTGCTCATAGAGCAGGTAAAGCATTTCCCTTAGTAAATAATATTAAAAACTAAATGTCCATTAAGTGAGCATCAATGAGCAGTGTTTGTTAAGTGATGGGAAGGGGATGCCTAAGGCACTTTAAAGTAAGTTGATGGAACTTGATCCTAACTCTATAGAAGTTTTAAATTCTCCCAAGTCTACCACAACAAGCTTAACAATCATACATGGACATTATTCCTAGATTAAACTGATCAGAAGGATAAAATTTAAGCCAATTACCATGAACTGAAACCAAATTATTATTTAGTGTTTTATTTGTATACAATGCTGTACTGTAAGGTAAATTCATACAAAATTACAACTCTACACCATAAATACAGTACTGTATAATGACAGCTAAACTTTATTTTTGAAGTAACAAATGGTTAAACATTTTCTAAATTCAAAATATTACCTCAATTAAAAATACTGTAAATTGTAATTTACTGTAATATATCTTCAAATATAGCTTACTTATCCTTCATGTAGACATCAGCACCATATGCTAATAACAGCTGCGCAGCTTCGTCACTCTTGCTAAACATGGCAATGAGGTGAAGGGGTGTTTTGTGATTCTTTATGGCATTCACATTAGCACCTGAAAAAAGAATGTACACAGATATTAACAACGACTAATGCAATCTAAAGATTTTAATCTAAGAACATTCAGAAGGTGGGGCTAGGAGCCTATCTCGACTCTGCAAGTACATCTACATGAGTACATCTAGGCATGTACATTCATACATATGATCATCTAAACATCCAAGATCAACATTGAGTAAGTCCGACACTGAGAGATGGGATTAGGTTGCCACACACTTTCATACAATAAATTTGTTCAGTGCACAAAAAGGGTTACAATGTAGATATTAAATTTATTTCCAGTTTTCTGTATATTTTGGATCCAAATTTATCATCCTAGAAAGAAAAAGAGCAACAGTTTCAAGCTCAACAAGCCACAATGTTTATAGCCCATAGGGGTTATAAACCCATGAAACCGCCTACGTACCGAACCCATAAATGCCAAAACACTGCTGAATTTCAAAATCTAACTTGATAAAATCACCAGGAAAAACGGGGTTAATTTTGACAACCCGCCAGCTTCCTGGCCTCGTCGAGGCTACTAGAGAGACAGTAGCCATAAGGTTAATTCAGGTAAACTGATAGCCACATTTTAGGGGGGGTTAATGATCATGTCTATGTTTTCTTTCTCTCAGCTCAGTATCCCGGGCTATGTTGGCACTGAGCTTCTTTGAATCATGACATCTTCCATACTGATATGCTTGATACAGTATTAATCCTGTGGTGCAGCACTCAGTTTAGTTGGGTCACTGCAGAAAAGGCCCAGGTTTAATTCCCATTGAGGGGACAAAAGCATTCGTCACTCAGCTGGGCAATGGGCAATGCTGGGCAATGCTTCCTTTCACCTGATGCTTTTGTACCTGGAAGTTAGAAACTGTTGTGAAGAGAGAAATCAAACAGGAAATCACATGCAGTTTACGTCTTGCTACCAATAGACGTTTGAAAGCTCTTAAAATACTGTTCTGCTTTCACATCATGCTGAAAGCAATAAACCCACTACAGCAGTACAGGATGAAGAAGACTGCTTCATGACCTTACCAGATTTAAGGAGGAAACTGATGCATGTCAAGGATGGAAACTGCATGGAACATGCAGCATGTAGTGGTGTTCCATAATGAAGATCATTAACATTCAGTTTTGCTCCAGCAAGAATGAGGACAGTAACGATGTCGGTGTACCCTGAAACAAGGTAAAGTAATTATAAAATTCACCTCTACTAATGTAACACAAAATATAAACATCATTTCAACATTATAAACAATGTAACAATATGATGCTACTTATGCAACCAAGCCAACCAACCAGCTGACAAGTCACAAAGTGAAATTCAGATGGATTCCATCTCGTGTTGGAATAGTGCTCAACGAGGTGGTGGATGAACTGGCCAAACACACCACATCAAGATCACAAGTTGACATTGAATGTGTTTTAACCATGAGACAAATAAGAAGTAAAGTTAGAAATATTCTGGCACAGGCAGAAGTGACGAGGAGAGGTATAATGTATGAGAGAAGTCAAACACTCCATGTATCCATGTATGTGTCAAAACATCGATTTCACTTATGATAAAAGGAGAAATACTTAAGAGTGATCCTGTACACATGTGATTCAGGCTTAAAACAAGGTAAGCAGCATGTACCTTCTTGTATATATAAATAAATAACATAAAAATAAATTATAGAGGTTCAGGGAAGCTGCAGCATCATCATTTTCCAGTAATTTCCTCCTGTGTTGTGGTACTAAGACTGCTAGCAGTCAAGATGAGACTATTGCAGTGTTTGAAGCCACCTGCGATCACACTGATAGAGGGTATGATTGAGGAGCGAGTGTGTGTGTGTGCTGGTGTGAATTTATGTAACAATTGTCTCACATTTGAAGTAACCCATGTGGTAGCCCAGTTCAATTCAATTGCAAATGGCTGCAATAGGTATGAAATCTGTAAGGCTTGAGAGACTCTGAACTCAAGGCTGGTGCGAACAGCTTGAGTGATGACATCTCATGAGTCACTAAGCATGCATTTTTAAGTGATTATTTCATGTGCGTAGATTATATGATTCTGTATGCAAATTGACATCCCAAGTTTCCCCATTGGAACTCCTGTAAATCCTTTGAAATTGCAGCAGTGAAAGGAAGTCGTTTAGTGAAGTGTGGCATATAAATGCAGTGTTAAGATAGGGTATATACATATACAGTAATAATAATAATAATAATAATAATATTTTATTTAGGTAAGGTACATACATACAATAAATTTTTACAAAGATTGGTTGACTTATAGGTAGAGCTAGTACATACAATGCCTAAAGCCACTATTACGCAAAGCGTTTCGGGCATGATAAACTTAAATGACAAGCTTAATACTAATTGAGCATAATGAGTAGATGAAAACAAGAAATGAAAACATAGATGAAAAAGCAGCACAAATACAAATATGTCGACAAACAGCGCTCTTTAAAGAAAAACAGACATTGGTTGACAATAGAAGGGTAAGGTAGGTTACAGGGAATTTATTAGGTATAGCTTCGTTTTTAACTTAAACTGGTTGAGAGAGGTACAGTCTTTAACATGGTCGGGAAGGTCATTCCACATTCTGGGCCCCTTGATTTGTAGAGCATTTCTAGTTTGATTAAGTCGTACTCTAGGAATATCAAAACTGTATTTCTGGTGTGGTGCTCATGGGTTCTGTTACAACCTTCTATGAAGCTTTTGAGATCAGGATTGGCATTATAGTTTAGCGTTTTATATATGTATAATACACATGAGAGAATGTGCAGAGACTTAATGTCTAACATATTCAGAGATTTGAGTAGGGGAACCGAGTGATGTCTGGGGCCAGAGTTGGATATTGTCCTAATAGCAGCTTTGTGTTGAGTAATTAGAGGACGTAAGTGATTTTGGGTAGTAGAGCCCCAAGCACAAATACCATAGTTGAGATATGGATAGATAAGGGAGTAATAGAGATTCACCAGGACAGGGCGTGGTACATAATATCTGATCTTAGAAAGAATGCCCACAGTTTTTGAAACTTTTTTTGATATATTAAGAGTGTGTCCCTGGAAATTCAGCTTGTGGTCAATGAGAATGCCAAGGAATTTGCCATCTAATTTGTTACAAATTTGGGTATTGTTTATTTTGAGATTTATTTGATTAGAGGATTTATTGCCAAACAGAATATAGAAAGTTTTGTCAATGTTAAGGGTGAGTTTGTTGGCAGTTAGCCAAAGATGGACTTTATTAAGCTCAGTATTTACTGTGACATTTAGAGCAAGGGGATCAGGACTGGAGTAAATGAAGGTTGTGTCGTCAGCAAATAGAATTGGTTTGAGGTGTTGGGAGGCATTTGGAAGGTCATTAATGTAGATGAGAAAGAGGAGAGGGCCAAGTATGCTGCCCTGAGGAACACCAATGTTGATGGGTAGGGTGGGAGAAATTGTATTATTCACAGAAACATATTGGAGCCTGTCAGTAAGGTAGGATTTGAGGTATTGTAGGGAGTGTCCTCTGACTCCATAATGATGTAATTTAAGAAGAAGGTTTTGGTGGTTGACAGTATCAAAAGCTTTACGCAGGTCCACAAATAACCCAACAGGGAACTCATTTTTATCAAGAGCTGTATGAATCGAGTTAAGCATACTAATAAGTGCATCGTTAGTGCTTTTTTTGGGTCTGAAGCCATATTGGCAAGGGCTAAGTATATTGAGTTTGGCTAGATATGAGTAAAGCTGCTTATAGATTAGTTTTTCAAAAATTTTTGACAAGTTTGGCAGGATTGATATAGGTCTGTAGTTGTTAACATCTGTGAGATCACCACATTTGTGGACAGGCGTTACTCTCGCTTTTTTTAGAATATCTGGAAAGGTTTGGAGTTCAAGTGACTTGTTGAAGAGCAAAGCAATAGCAGGGGCTAAAGATCTGGAGGCTTTTTTGTAAATTAAAGTTGGTATCTCCTCAAGGGCACTAGACTTGGTTTTAAGGGAAAGGATTATCTCATTGACGTCAGTGGAATTAATAGGCTTTAGGTACAGAGACTGTGGATAGTTACCTGTAAGATAGTCCTTAATGTCAGTACTGGAAGATGGAATATCATTTGCAAGGGATGAACCAATGGAAGAGAAGAACCTATTGAACTCAATAGCAGAATCAGAGGCTGAAAGCTGACCATCGTTATTAGACAGGAGAGTCGGTTTGTTATTTAAAGACTTCTTTGATCCCAATATTTGTGAAATTGTGCTCCAAGTTTGTTTAATGTTGCTCTTTATTTGGGTAAATTTATCTTCGTAGTATTTAGTTTTGGCTCGTCTAATTATCTTAGATAGCAATAATGAGTAATTCTTTGAGAATTCTTTGGAGACAATTCCTAACCTATACTTCTTCTCAAGGTCATGTTTTTTATTAATAGATTTAAGTATTCCCTTTGTAAGCCAGGGATTGTTAAGCCTTTTGGTTGTGACTTGTTTTGTAAGCATAGGACAGTGGGTATTATAAAGGCTAAGAGTTTTTTGAAGAAAAGATTGCACTGTTAGGTTGATGTCCTCTATGTTACCTAACTCAACATGATGTTACCTAAGTGTTATACAGTGTTAAGTATTGGAATACTAAAAGAGGTTTAAGTATCATTCTGTGGGACAAGTACAGATCACTGTGATTAGCTATGTGTATGATGTTTCATAGGGTAAAGAGAAATCCCCAAATCATATACTGTATGTAGAATTCAGCATCCATATTTTGGCTTTATGAGACATTCAACCATCCACAGGTGGACCTATTTTCCTCTGCATACAACTGGCAGCTTCTGATGTATGTGGTGCCATTTCTCAACTGCAAGGTGTTCACAGTGGATGCTTTTCAGCTGGACTGGGGCCAGTAGTCTTACGTTTACCTTTTTTCCTTAGGTCCAGTTGCTGCTTCCCATGTTGACCAAGTCGAAAACTCTTATGGGCCGCATTCTTCAGTTTGCTCCTATGTCGTCGGTTCAGCCCTGGTTCCTGGACCTCTTGCCATTTCTCCCAAACTCCCTCCTCCCCTTCCCAAGGACCCACCTCTCCCAACTCCCTCCCCTTCTTGAGGATCCACTACTCCCAACCTCTTTCCCTACCCGAGAATCCACCTCTCCCAACCCCCTCCCCTTCCTTAAGATCCACCTGTCCCAGAGGATTGGCAGCATGACCTCATGATGGGTCCCCCAACCAATAAGTTCTCTGCTATTGCCTCAAACCAAACTTTTTTACTCCAATATGTGAATTTATCTCAAATTGGAGAGGGAAATCAGTACATAATATTTAATATACCGAGTAATGCTTACAAGATTTATATAATTTTGTAGAATAAAATTATTTTTAAGAGTTGTTGTGATATAAGGAGTGACTAAAATAGTGTGAGGGCACTGAAGTCCTTTTAACTAGATGTATGTGCACCATTACATTATGCTTGGCAAATAGGAGAAAATATACTATTCATTAGGTCTTAACCAACAGTTGTTATAATATTATCTCTTACTGTTACTACAGTATTATTAATGAGCTGTACTATATATATGGCATACCTCTAAGAGCTGCTTCATGCAGTGGTGTTGAAAGAAGAAGAGGTGGATTAACAAATGCTCCACGATTCAGTAACATTTTCACACACTCAACATTACCTCCAGCACACGCATCACACAGGGGCGTACTATTGTCAATACTCTGAGCATTAACCTGAAAGAAAAATATAGTTGAGCATTACAGTACAGGTACTGCCTATCTAGTGAATACATTTTAACACTTTGAAATGGAAAAATCATAGTACTGTACTAAATATAATGAAACCGGTTTTTGGGAAGGAATGTCCAGTAATTCTTCCATGCTTAAGCACTGGTAAACCCAAGCCTTGTGGAATCCCACCAGGCCTCTCAGACCCACCTGACCAAAATGCAGCTCACTATATACGACGAGCCTTGATGGTTTAGAATTTTACCTAAAACCAAGAAAAACACCACCAGTATGGTTAGGCACAACAAAACAAGTGAATGCACAAAGGAAAATAATGACCCTAATGTAAACAAAGTAAACAATCGTTTGGCGAGAATAACCTACCATTATGTGATGCACACAGCTGTCACCAGATGGAAGCCTCGGTTATCTGAGATCTCAGACAACCACACACCTCACTAAGAAGTCACCAGAACGGAACCCCAAAACTCCCTCAGGAAAGTTTTTGAGGTTTTGAGGTTATAGAATACTCCTATAAAGTATTTGTTGCTTAATTAACACCAATACTGAGAAAAACTCCCTCAAACTTCCCCTTTGTCATGCCTACAAACCAGGCATGATGGGGAGGATCTCAGTGAAACTTTTAAAATACTGAACAAGTTAGAGAATGTTGATCTAGATATTTTCTTCAGGTCAGATGTAACACAAACAAGGCGCAACGGTTACAAGCTCAATAAGCCATATTGTAGAACTAAGAACAGGAGATGCTTTTTCACTCACATGGTTATTAACCCATGGAACTGCCTACCAGCCAAAGCCGTACCTGCCAAAACTGTGTTAAGTTTTAAAATATACCTAGAAAAGATTAAGGCAAATAGGGGGACTCTAGACAAGCCACTGGCTTCCTGTCCTCATCGAGGCCACTAGGGTTAGTGGCCCTCGGATAAATCAGGTAAATCAGGAAAGAGGAGATCAAGGCTGGAATGAGGGAGGCTATGGAGGGGCCCACCAGAATAATACATTACTGTACATTCAAAGCTTGATTTCCGAGAGGGCACTAAAGCTAATTTCCCAGCAGTGTCTCAGTAGAGGATGATGGTCTTTCAGAAAGAAAATAAAGAAACCTAAGGAACAGGAATGCCAGAAAGGGCTGATTCATGGATGATAACAGCAAAAGAGTAGGAAATAGGTTAGAGGAGCAGAGGCTTGATGTCATTTCTTAAGGCTTGGCAATACTGTACCTGTTCTGGGCACTACTGACGAGATCTTCTCTTAAAGATAACTAAAAATATATATATATTTTTTAATTACATTTATACATTAATGTTTATGTAAACAACCAAAATTATTGTTTAAATATTGTCAAAATATGCAGAAAAATGATTGTATTCAATAGTTTTGAGACATTTCAACATATGGTGATAAATAGCTAAAAAGGGCAATCATTTGGATATTTGGATTATTTATACACAGTACTGTATCTGTATTGGGTAGAACAATATGATCTAGATTTTGGTGGGCCCACTGAACTGCAAATCTAAAAATAAATAATTACACTGTAAAACATCCTCTACAATGTACTAATAGACACTAGGACATTACTCCTTGTTCATATCCCTTTAATTCTTCTCTTATATAATTTCCAGCTAACCTTTGTTCAAGTTTGCACACTGAGCCACCTCAGCCACTTGCCCCTCCTGTTGACCAGACCATACACAATACTTTAGCCACGTTATTGTAACCCATCGCCTGCTTGCCCCTCCTGCCTTCCTTCGTACTTTCCACTTTAAAATCCATTGTCCGTCTTTCCTCCGTCACCACGCTCAATTGTGGGGTTCAGTCCCTGAGCCCATTATGTGCCTTTGTAACCCTTTCCACTACCGCCCACAAGATGGGTATGGGGTGCATAATAAATAAACTAAACTAAACTAACATGTTGCATCAGAACTGTACAATGCTTTAATTGTTCCAATGACTTCTTCTTGTTGATGGTTCAGGGGGTGGTGGTGATCTTAAGATTGCATGCACCTGAAGTAACCAATTTGCTGTCTGGTGAATAGTTACTGTATCTTTGTACAGTATTATAATTCAGTACCATTTGATCCCCCTCACAGGTACAAATTGCAATAAATATCCAATTCTCCATCTTTGTCATTTTTATCACTGATATCAAGACATACTTACCATATAATACATATTCTGTTCTAAATTAGAATACCTTCAACCTTAATTTTACATTAAGGAATTACCCTTGATTAAATGTGTGTCTTTCCTTAGCCAGACACAGAAAAGTACAAATGAGGAGCCTGCAGTGCATGCAGAGCTGCCTGTGGACAATACTGTCCCGTAGATACACTGCAATATTAAGAACTTTTGTGACTTTATTTATGGAAGTGTCTTCAATATAAAACTGTAACTAATAAAAAAACAGAAAATAAAGTTTTTTTTAATATAATAAAGGATGACATAGAGCATGTAGGGGAAGAGGGGTGTAAGGGAGAGAATGGGATTTAAGGGAGAGAATGGGATGTAAGGGAGAGAATGGGATGTAAGGGAGAGAATGGGATGTAAGGAAAAGGGCGAGTAGAGGATGAGGGTTTATGAACTTATTCCATAAACAATACTGTACAGTAATCTGAGCATTTTTCCTTATAATGACAAATCATTAATACTATGCAGTATGACATTTTTCAAAATATTCAACTATTTAAATGAATGAGCTACTGTACTATGCATGTGAATAAAAAATTATAGGTACAAATATAGAAAAATATTTGAGTAAATCACGGTCAATAATCATAAATTATTCTGACAATACCTTCAATGATTTCAGGCTGAACTGGTTAATGCACTTACTGCAAGCTAAAGAAAACATATTATTATTAACTGCACTAAATAATTATGACTATGATATTACAGTAGATATATTTTATTATGAAATACATTAATGTAAAGAATTATTAACTAAAATGATTGTGATATAGTACTCTATCATATTATAATGCACATAAAAGTATAATATAAATGCAGTGCTGTAAAAGTACAGCCATTCACCTGGTACTGTATTTGTCTTTTTTCCAACTAGCCCAAGGCTGAAAAACCTTTAGAAAAATAATGTTTTAAATGGTTTTGCTAGCATGTCTGTCTGATGCTTCTCAGGCTCAGCCCAAGAGGTTAATTCCTTAGTAACTGGTCAGAGACCAAACCAAGGGGATACTAATCCTCGGAATCTTCAACAGGTAGATCATTCAATATCTTTAGTACCCATAACCATATCACCTGCACCTGGCTTACCAAGTGACTCCAACTCTTCACTAGAAGCTCGAAGAAGCTCTAGTTCAATAAATACTGTATATCTGCTTCATTTGAAAGTAATGCTACTTGAACTATATAATGAACCAAGTCTCTGAGCTGAACAGTAACATAATGAAACCTTTGATATGTTGTCAAAGGTTCCTGTTGAAACCATTAGTGAGTGACCCTTATATAAATTCAGGTAAATTCATTTTGGAGGTTAGTTTTTTTATGTTCATTTATTAAGCACCCTACATGCTTCCTGTGGACAGTAGTGGAAAGGTTACAAAGGCCCATAACGGAGTTGGGGACTGAACCCCAAAATTCATTTAGCTCAGCAAGTTACAATCTTGATAAGCTAGTTACAAAACTTAATGTTTATTGTTATATCAACAATGGCTTCAAGACCAACCACAAGTACATTCTCTAAGCTAACCAACTTACTTATGTGGTGAGCTAGTTTCATAATTGATATGTTTATCCTGCCCACAACTCCCCATTCTTACAAATTTTACAAAACAGTACACATTTAGAGATGGACTGAATAGCTATTTGACAATATGAGTTAAATTTTCTGACTTGCCTATGGCACAACAGTCGGATAGCAAGTGAACAGTCACAATGCCACTGTTGTCAGTCTTTATGGCATATACAGTACATGAATTAATGACTGTACTTTATTGTGATTAAACATTATATAAAATTATTTTTCTAGCCTTGGAGGCTCATACCCCATGTTAAGGGTTCATGAAATAATGGGTATATTTGGTCTCAATAAAAATACTAGCTTTAATGACAATAACAAAATAATATACATAAATATATGTATTTATTATCTTAACATATACAGTACAAAGAACTTTCAAATAGGATATCTCCTTTAAGATATAATTTCTTTTATGGTATAAATTCCCTGAAGATCCTATCTGGCATTATTAAAGAAACTACTTCCTCCATGCTCAAATCTTATCCAGTATGCTAACATTAAAATAGTTTGGTCAGAGGTCTATACTGTTTGCTTCAAAATTTCCAGGTGGAATAATACACATGCAGCATTTGTTATTACATACTGTACTTTGAAACTATAAATACATAATCTCAAGCTTATGAAAATTGTGTAACTGTACCCAAGGATTGGTAACAGAGTTAAATATTTAATACAGCAGTGATGTTCAACATATTAATATTAAGTTAATGAAAGCATTTAACATGCTGCTAACTAGTTTAAATTAACCCCTTAGCGAGAGCAATTGTTCCAGCCCACAATACCTTGAAGATCAATGTATGATGATAACTGCACTCTTTAAAAATATAAAAACAAAACAAGAATACTCCTATAAAGCATTTGTTGCTTAACACGAATTATCAGATCCCCAGTCTAATGCTCCTGGTACAGTATTATTTAATTTGGCTGCTAAATATATACTTGTGCTGAGGTTATACTGAAATTCACAATCTTCTCTCACCCATGCTCCTTTCTGAAGGAGGAAGTCCGTAATCTGGACATCGCCTGTGAGACAGGCCATGTGAAGTGGAGTGACGCGGTCGTAGTGTTGCTCATTTATATCATGACCATCTGCTACTAAACTTTGAACTTCCACAAAATTTCTTGATGCAACTGCATTGTGCAAAGGAAACATTTGAACCCCTGCAAATAAATAATGCAATAAATAATAAAAGAAAGTTATTGCTGTTTCTTTCAAAGTTAATACAAAGTATAATTTCAACTACATAACAGTATAAGATAAAACAAATCACTGCAAATATTGTAGGTAAAAAGATAAATACAGTATTTTTGTATTAATTTGTGAAAATAAACAGAGGCTACTATATTAGTTAAGGACTTATTAGGTCAGACTTCATTTTATCTTCCCCTTTAGGTAAGTAATGAAGATAATGTCCATGCTATGTAGCTGTTAATACATTACTATTTCTAGATTTAGTTACAAAGCACAGATGTGTTTTTGCCAAAGACTCACAAATAGCAAATACAGTATAATTGGTAAAATGAATACAGTACAGTATAAAGGAAAAAAAGTTAATGCTTAAATGGCAAGTTGCCAAATTTTCAACTTTCTTCACCTAACACAAAAAGCCCAGAAAATTTTGCCAAACTCGAAAGAATGAATTGAAAATAATGTAAGGCGATTCATTATGATCTGCTGATTTAAGTTTTGTCGGCCAAGTTGCTTTGTAAAAAACACAACAGAGGCATATACCGGCTAACTAATCCTTCTATAACCTGTCGATATTTTAATCGATTATAATCATTGATTAAAAAACATTTTATTTATCTACCTCAAATGTCATTCAATCTTTAAATATATACAAAACTATAATGTTGGCAAAATAATTATGGCTTACTTGAATAAAGTGTATTAAGGACTGGTCCAGAAGCCATAATAAATACGTATGAAGACAAAAGAGATGCAGAACACCAGATTTTAGCAAGTCCTGCTCTTGTCTGCTGCTACCAGCTATGTCGAGGAATCGCAACTATGTCAGGGCATGGTGCATGTGGCACACTTGGCACCTGTGTGGACCTTTGGCACAACTGTGATCCTCTTGACGCAATGATGGATCAGACAGCCATGGTCCAGCTGGACAGAAATTTATACAATGACGGATCCGCCTACCATGGACCAGCTGGACAGAAATTTATACAATGACAGACCCGCCTGCCATGGACCAGCTAGACAGAAATTTATACAATGACAGACCCGCCTGCCATAGACCAGCTGGACAGAAATTTATACAATGACAGACCCGCCTGCCATGGACCAGCTAGACAGAAATTGATACAATGACAGACCAGAGCGTAACAGACCAGCTGGACAGAAATTTACGCAATGACGAACCCGTCTGTCATAAATTGAACAAATCTGACGAACCAGCGGGATATAAATATATACAATGATGGACACGATTGCCACAGACCAGCAGGAAAGTTCCTTAAACAATAACGAACGTTCTGGACAGTTATGTAAGCAAAAAACGGACCATGTGGGACAGATCTTCAAGCAATGACAGACCCGTCAGTCACAGACAACTGTTGACGCAATCGCCACCCGCCAGGCAGCGTTGCCAGACCCGAATTGATGAAAGTAGCGAACTGACGGTCTATAAGTAGCGAATTTGAAATTAAAGTAGCCCAATATGAACAAATATTTTTAATATGAATAAATATAACATTTGATAGCTCAATATTTTCTTTAGCGACTGATTCGGTTTTCAGAGTAATATATTTTATTACATAGAGAAACACTACTTGATGTAATGGTTGCATTAATATTATCACTCCGTGTATAATAATAAATATGATAATAGGATAACAGCAATATTTATTTATTTATATATATACAAGAAGGTACATTAGGATTGTGAGGATACATAGCATAGTAATTACAATCTTGTAAAGTCACTAGTACGCGCAGCGTTTCGGGCAGAAACGCTTCATATTTATTTGCTTCATGAAGCATAGTTGAAGTTCAAATACATTTATTGAGACAAGAAAATACATCTCAAAGGGATAAAGTAGCTTAGGTTATTTCTACCCCCCAACCAGGACATAAAGCATAATGGGTGTGGAGTCCTTCCACGTCTTCACAGTTGAAGATTGTCAAGATCTTCTTCTGTATCCACAACCTCATTCTTGTATATTGCCGTATGACGAGAAAAATAGGTGTTAGTGCAGTCTCTCTAGGCAGATGGAATGCCAGTCACATAAATAAAAAATAAAGCAAATGAAAAAAAGTTAAGACAGCAATTTGTCTTCACGGTGAGGTAACTGTAGGACAAGACAGAGGGAAAAAACATGTAAAAATACTTTACTTTGATAGAAAACTAACGTTAAACAAATTAAACATAAAATAATATCCAGGCTTGGCTCTAATTCAAAGTGTGCAAAACACACAAGATGAACAATCAAATTTACGTTAAGTTAAAGTGCAACTAAAATATGGTGCTAGAATACTGTGAGCCAGATTGAATAACTCTGTTACCACACCAAGATATGTCAACAGGTCTACTCAGTAGAGCACTCAGGAGTAATCTGAATCGTGGTGGGCTAGGTAGCCCTATATATATATGGAACATTGGTCGTCCAGGTGGTGCTGGAATCGTACATAGCTATGAATCGGTTCACGTTAACTGCTTGTTTCGGCCGATGGCGTGAGCTCCCGGCAACCAGGTGAGGGGGAGTGACGGGCCGTGGTGTAGGGGGGAGACTGGTGGTACTGTCTAGACGTCTGGAAAGTAGTTGTTGCTCTGGTGGCTGTAGTTCTTTAATATATATACATGGTATAGTAGAATAGGTGATGATGGAGAAGGCCGAATCTCTTCCTAGAGTACCGTGACACGCCGAGACTCATTTTATCACTGACATAGGTGTTTCAAATGATTAGCAACAAGTGTTTTAACCTTTTTTAAACAATATTTTTTAACTTTTTGAAACTTTCAGCATTACATACTAGAAATGCAAGACAAATTTTATGGCATCTTTCTTGAAAATTTTGAAGCTTTTCTGGTTTATAGCATGTTTTTGTTTGTATGTCCACCTTATCCAGGGGCAAATAAATGAAATTTAAGTCCAAATTAACATCAAGCTTTGCATGGTTAGGATGCAGGATTTTTTCGAGTAATGGAAGAGTGAAGTTTTCTAAGTCAGTGTGAAGGCTACACTTGCTGCTTCATATTTTTGATAAACTAAATTCATCCTTTCAAAATCCTTTAGGATTGGTTTGAGGAATGTGAAATATAGCTTATTAGCGGGATCAGAGTACATTGAAAATAGTTGCCTTGCAATATACTTAAAAAGAGGAAGAAGAGATTTGGTAATGAGTTGTTAAAGAATCCCGCTGATCTAACAGCCGCTCTACACTGAGGTGTAGTCATCGAATATAACTGAGCGAATTGCGAATAGTCGACAGTACAATTTCCAGTCAAGAATGTAGCACTAGGCGTAGGCAGTTCTAATCGTCTCCAAGACGCTACAGCTACGACACAGAACAGACAGCAGACATGTGGACTGCATCGAGCTACAACGCTCTCCCACATAGAGCTCTGGGACTCCAGCCTCACTCACCTCTCTGTTCTGCTCCAAGCTCCGTCTTAACGTCTACGATAATGCTGTATCCAGGACTACTAAATATATATGAAACTCACTAAACACTGTGTATCTAATCTACCCAACAACGTAACATAATCGTACGTTACAACACTATTGTTTATTTCCAACCATCGTGTTCCTAAAAAAGGTATCAACTGTAGAGGATTTTTCCCATCATTTATAAGTCTGTAAATCTCTGGATCATTTTCTCTCCAGAATGACCCTGTGGAACCAGCTGTAGATGTCTCTTCAAATTCATATTTTTATTCAGGTAAAAGTACATATATAGATGATGAGTTACAAACATAATGTTGGATTTATCGATAGAGCTAGTACATACAATACCGAAAGCCACTAATACGCATAGCGTTTCAGGCAAGCGTTTCTTATCATGAAGTCGATGTCGATGCTGAAAGGTAATTCGTCAGATGCATGAGAACAGACCAAATGAAAAGAATGACATGTGCATTTTATAAGAAAC